TATAGTACCATATAGAGTAGATACGAGTGACTATTCTAACAGTTCTTCATTTTATGCTTCTACTAAGTTGTGACTTGCAATAAATCATTGAACAAATCCATGTCAAAGTCAGACAATCTCCAAAATCTCCAAAATCTCCAATCTCTTGCTACCCTTTTTTAAAAATAATTTTAAGATTTTATTTATTTGACACAGAGAGAGAGAGCATGCACAAGCAGGGGGAGTGACAGGCAGAGGGAGAGGGAGAGAGGGGGAGAGGGACGTAGGTTCCCCGCTGAGTGAAGAGCCCAAAGGGGTCATCGATCCTAGGACCCCGGGATCATGACCTCAGCTGAAGGCTAGGACCCTGGGATCATGACCTCAGCTGAAGGCAGATGTTAACCAACTGAGCCAACCAGGAACCCCCTACTATTGTAAGTTTCTCAAAACTTTTAAGATGTTTAACCTAATCAAGTTTTTAAAATGAGTATGAAAAATTCTTTTTTTTTTAGGTTTAACATTTCATATGATATTCCATAGAACCCATGACTTAAAAACAATATTATTGTGACACAGAATAGTAGAGATTATATATAAGAGCTAAGACATCAGATTTGACAAATTTTGTCATATTTTTATATAACTGGAAATCACTGGAAATAAAATTTGTTACTATCTTTTTTTGCTACAAAAATGTTTTTTTTTTCTTTTCTCCATCAAGGAGTATTAGGCAGTCTGTGTGTTTGAAGAATTTTAGAGCTCCCAAACTCTGCCCCTAAATCAGAGTCTCTGTTAATTTCTATCAAGTGAGATTAAGCAAATCTTTATGGAGAGGAAGGGCATGAAATAAGTGAAGGCTTTTGTATTTGGACAGAGAACAGTTGGACTAATTCCACACTGATGGAGAATTTGTAATCCTAGAGAGAGAGCAGAACCCAAGGTTTTAATGGTTCCAACTGGATATGCTGAAGGGACAACTGGGACCTCACTACTAATTAGCTAAACACCATGCACTTGAGGGATGCAGAGAAGATTCTGGGAGCCAAATTTGGTATGAAAGGATTGGAATCATTTGGCAGACTAGCCCATATTTGAAAGTAGTGTGGGGATAACAAAATGGGCATTTCAGTAACAGCCAAGATGAACTAAGGAGGAGAGCCTATTCTCTCATGACCCTGGCTTGAGCCACCCCCAGCATTTATTCTCCAATCCCAAAGGGAGGAAATGGGCAATTCTAAAATGACTAACACAGATTTTTCAACCATATGGTGGTGAAGGTAAAGGAAGTTTTATTTTTACGAGAAAACACATAAATTCAGTTTGGTTTTTGCACCAGAATATTTGGCAGAAAATTTTTGTCTGTAGTATACTAGTCTACATAATATGTATACATTTTAACATAGTTGTATATGAATGGAAACTTTGTCTTTTCCATGCATTAGTTCTGCTGCACTAGTTTTGTTTCTTCTGCTGTTATCAAAATTAAGCTTTCATTATATATGTAAGATAGAGGAAAATGAAAGTAAAATGAGAAGGGAAAATACTTGAATAATTTGATCGTATATTTTTAAATAACCACAAAGAAATATTCTCAAATATACCTCAGAAATTTACATGAGAAAATAAGTTTAATTCTACCCATTCTTAACATTTGTGTCTTGTTATGTGCTAAGCATTCATATTTTTTAACTTTTTCTCTCATTGTTTTCTTAGGTTTACTGAACCATAAAGGAGGGAAAGAAGAAAACTGGCTCACTATTACAAAATACTTCTCATCCTGATTTTAAAGTCTTCTGACTTTCTGCTTTTTCTCTAAACTCACATTCATGATGCTATGTGTATCATAAAGAAATGCTTCAAGTGTAAAAATGTTAATTGAAAGCTACACCCACACCAAGTTCAAAGAACATGCAAGCCTAAGATAAGTGGCAATGCCTGGTTTTGTTTGGAAAGTTATGCTCAGGAAAACAAACAAACAAAAACCAGACAGGGGGGCATCTGGGTGGCTCAGCGGGTTAAAGCCTCTGCCATGGGCTCAGGTCATGATCCCAGGGTCATGGGATGGAGCCCTGCATCGGGCTCTTTGCTCAGCAGGGAGCCTGCTTCCTCCTCTCTCTCTGCCTACCTCTCTGCCTACTTGTGATCTCTGTCTGTCAAATAAACAAATAAAATCTTAAAAAAAAAAAGACCGATGACTCTTACAGCCAATTGTGAGTGCCCTATAAGTCATCTTTCTATTTATCAAAATTATTAACTATTTTGTAGAAGCATCACCTTCCATGTCTTTCCTTTTCTTTTGTACTTCAAAGCCTTTAGCATTTCATGGTTTGTCTTTTTCCAATATGTTGGTAAAACAGAGCAGATATGAAACTCAAACTGGACCTTGCTTTATTGCTTATTTTAGCCAGGCTTTATTTCAAAATTATGAGTTTTAGCTCTGTCTTCTTTTTCTCTCTATTTATTATTACATAATGTATTACTTTAAAAATTACATACTACTTATTCCTACACAAAAATGTAATATTTAATATAATATTGGTATAATGGTTAACTTCAAAGGCCTGTGTGCTCAACCCCTACACATTCCAAAGAAAGGACCTTTTAACTAGGACCTGGAAGGTAACCTCTGAATATTGGAATATCCTGTCTGAAGACAGTGTCCTTGATACCTGATGACACAATATATGTATACATTGTGAAACACTTACTACAATAAGGTTAATTAACACATCCATCCCATCACATAGTTACCGTGTGTGTGTGTGTGTGTGTGTGTGTGTAGATCTACTCTCTTAGCAGATTTCAATTACATGATGTATTAGTATTAACTACGGTTACCACGAAGTACATTAGATCCTTGCTTGTGCCCTTTGACTAGCATCTCCCTATTTTCCCCACCCTCCAGCTGCTATTAACCATCATTTTACTCTGTTTCTGTGAGTCCCACTTTTTAAAATTCTTATTTTTCTTTACTCTTATTATCATAGTTTCTGGATATAGAAGTCAAGATTTAGGCTAATACTAGCTTAGAGTTAATTTGAATAGCTTCTAACTGGCAATTTATAAAATGAATAAATGAGAGAATACTGTCCTTGGAAGTTCTATGATTTGATATGATACACCTTCTAAAGCTGTAGTCTCTACTTGTTAAACAACTGTCTTAACTGTCTTATCTCACAGATAAGCTATGGCAAGGTCAGGTCTAAAAGGGGAATCTTATGGTTTTGGGTATGAAACTCTTTCTACCATAATAAACTCCTATTATTGCTGAAGTTATTGGTGAAATCATGGACTAAAATAAAGCTTAACCACACTATGGAAACTAAATGATTTACCTTCAAGTAAAAGGAATGCTTCCTCAAGCCATACTAAAAAATAAGCCATGACCGATCTCCATAATTAGATTTAGGGGGTTTCAGTAAGGAGTTCAACTATTGGCCAAGAACCAGGTTTCTTCTGACTCTCAGCTCTGCTGTCTTCAGGGTCATTTATCATTAGGTGGCATCCCACCCTCTTCCTTGGGCTTTAAAAATGGCAACAGTAATTACATGTATAAAATCTAGTTGTTGGAAGATCTAGAAGAGGTCACACCTACCTTTTACTTACATCCAGTGAGGATACACCAGTGAGGAAGGATTCCCCCAGAAAGAATACTCATCTCAGAAGCCAGCATAAAGTCACATGCCCACTCTTTCAGGAGTTCCCAAAAGTGGAATGGAGTTAGAATGACTAAGACAAAGCATCTGGTATGAATAAAGACAAAGCAACAGGGCCACTGTGCATACCTAAATTGTAGTTAGGTAACTGATGCACCCTCCATTTCTGGTCCTTCCTATCTAAATGTTAATTGTAATTCTCCATTTAGATGCCTGCCTCTCTTGTGGGAAAGAAACAATATGCCACAAATTAGCCTTTCACTGTAAAAACAATGCTAGTACACTGATAGTCAAAATACATCAGTGGAAATGAGTCTGTTTTTCAAAGCATTTTCTTCTAACTTGAACTAGTGTAGTCTTTTTGTGAAAATCAGCTTTGTTGCTAAAGGATAAACTATAAGCCTATACTAGTAGTGCAGCATTAACCTGTGTTGTATGTCATTTATTTTCTGAAGTCAGTCAGTGAATCCACCTTCAGTAGATATTTCTTATGTCAGGCTTTCTGAAAAATGAGAAGCCTGAAGGGATCCTCTTGATTTGCCAACTGTGTCACAGTCCGTTTAAGGCAGAATGGCACATGCTTGTGACAAAGGTGATGACAAATGGATATGTACTGAAGGGACAGCACCTACACAGATGAATGAAGGAAATTATGGAAGTACACAACACCAGATAGAAAGCAAGATAAAATTTAGGATTATAAATATCAATGAAACACATTATGTGTGTATATACTATCTTGAATTATATAAAGGTACATATAAAACTAATGTCATTTTGGGGCGCCTGGGTGGCTCAGTTGTTAAGTGTCTGCCTTCGGCTCAGGTCATGATCCCAGGGACCTGGGAGAGAGTCCCACATCCAGCTCCCTGGTCAGTGGGGAGCCTGCTTCTTTCTCTGCCTCTGCCCCTCCCCCTGCTTGTGTTCCCTCTCTCACTGTGTCTCTCTCTGTCAAATAAATAAAAGTCTTAAAAAAAAAAAAGAAAAGACTAATGTAATTTTTTAGAATAATTTCTGATATTTTACACAAATTCAATATTACCAAGAATTGTGAATCTAAATTGTGAATCTAAAAAAGATTCTGTTTTATAATATTTACATCAACTTATATATAGTTATGAATGGAACACTTTTTTATTATTAAGTTAAAATAATATAAGTTAAATATATAAGTAAATATATATATAAGTAAATATATAAGTTAAAATAATATTTCTTGAGTTTCTGTTTTCTAATCTCTCTCCATATATATATATATATACACACACACCAACTTGACATACACACAAATGTTAACTGTATTTGTAGGGGTTAATTTATGCTATCCCACAGTAAGATAAGTTAATAATATTCATGGATACTAACGAGATGAAGATCTTTGCAGGTAGAATTGTGCTCACAGGCATTCAGGATACAATCATCAATGTCCTGTTCACACCTCAAGCCAGCAAAACCCGGATTGCATAAGCAGGAGAAGCCATTAACCACTAAGAACGAGAGAGAAGAGAAAATAATATACCTTTAATAATGATATGGGTATTGCTAATTATTCTCAAGAATGTTGCATTCAAGTAAATGCATTTCATTTTTAACCACAGTAAATGTGAGTTCACAGCTCTCTACAGTATTATCTAAATAACTGTTTTCCTCAGTTCTATTTATAAAAACAATCACAATAAACATTTGGTAGCAGTTTGCAAAGCAACAATGACAATACCCAATTTTTTTCTTCTCTCTTTCATCAGTAAACAATACCTATGATAAACAGGTTTCTTTTACATCAATTAAATTTTCCTTGAGTGCTTTAGGTTTAATAAACTAGAAGTTAACTCATTGTTAAGTTTTTGTGTGACAAGGCAGACTAAAGTGGGTAGTGATCTGAAAGTTGACATTGAGCTACTTAAGCCTTACTTAAAAAGAGCTTTCACATTTCATCATGATCTTTTAAAAGTGAAAATAAGAATCTGTTCTCTATTTTATCATTAATGATTTAAAAAAAAAAAGGTTTCTGAAGCATCTCAAGGAAGTGGTGACCGCATGAATTGTAGCTGGAGCAGGAACAGATTTATGGCTACTTCTAGTCAGTCCCTGGGTTCTTCATTATCCTTGAGATTTACCACATAATCTACACTGTCACTCTGCCCCTGCACATGCACCTGCTCTCGCTCTCACTAAATGTTGAGGTCCTGGGTAGCAACAGAATTTTCAGTACACTGTGTGGTATTCAGCTGGCTTCTAGGTTTCTGTAACCATGCTTCTGGACAGCACATTTACTTGGGCTTTTAAAGAAAACCAGCTCACAGCTGCCAAGAAGAGACAAGGGAGACATAAGAATGGTAGCCCTTTAGGCAGGATTTTACTACTATTAGAGTTTACTTTTTTCATGTGGCACCCTAGTTTTTAACATCTCAGTGAATCAAAATAATTAATATGCAAGTATAGTTGCAAATAATATAATGAGATAATATGGGATCAGCTGTGTTTCCTTACATGATATATATGGCATTATGTATGTTAACAAATTAAAATCAAATGTTAGATTATATGTAATTAAGACATTGTAGAGCATCATCAATCATGATATTTTTAAAAATGTTCATAATTATAAATTCAAGTTTGGATACTGATGCAAATGGGCAAGTAACAAAAACTACAGTCAAATTAACTTTCTATGCAGATAGAGATTCAAATTGATGAATTCTTTTAAAAGAAAAATGACAATAGATAACTTTAAATTAGCAAAAGGTCTGAAAGACAGAGATTGGTGTTCACAAATAAAGCTTGCATTTATTATCAAGAAATATGCTTTTTGAATGTTGGTTATTCTGGGCTAAGAAGCTAAGAATGAAACCAGGTGAGTACCTGGGGAATTAAACTGGATACCACAGCTAAAATAAATAAATGAAAAACCATAATCTGTTTAAAATTTAAAACAAAGAAACAAAAAAAAGGGGGTTTTTTATCCCCCCACATCTAATTTGTTAACTATGGGCTATGTTAAAACTTATCGCCATTTTATCAGGAAATACTATTTTTAAGCATATTGTCTTGTTTTGCTGTTATATTTTTTTTACCAGAAAATACAGTTACTGTTTTTATTAGTTTTTGTTTATAAATATTCCATACTCCTGATCTGAACTGAAATTTTCATCAGATATGCCCTGCCTGAATTTGGATGTACTATTAATTTTACACTTAAATTGACAATGAACATCATTTATTAGTTGTTCTGAAACAAAGCTTCTGATGTGATAAAACTTCATGGTGAAAATATAGATGTATTTTAATAATGTATTGCCAATGTGGTGAATAAACATATGCTTGAGATTTACAATTTCATATTTACATATTAATAATTGTTTCTAATATATAGTCATGTAATAAATAATGTTAACTTGAATTCAGGAAGTTTGGCTTCCCAAACTATCTTCTATTTGAGAAAGTATTAAGAATACAATATCTTAGACTTATGCTGATATCAGTTTACATGTCTGACCTAATTTTTAATAAATGTTTTGGGTCTCTGGTAGTAAAAATCTCTTGGATGGGGGGGTTAAAATATATTATGGTTAATTCTATTATGAAATAGGTTAATATATCAGGTACTCAAAGTTTATATCTTCCATAATATATTATGTATGACCTCCAAAGTTTTAATAGGTAATGTTGCATTACAAGTAGCATATTTGAAAATTATACTTTCTTACTGTATAAGGAATTATGACTTAAAGTATTTTCTTATATTTTTTCTTTTTTCTACTATTTATTCTTTTAAAGATTTTATTTAAATTCCAGTTAGTTAACATACAGTGTAATATTAGTTTTAGGTGTACAATATAGTGATTCAGCACTTCCATACATCACCTGGTACTCATCACAACTTATAAAAATCATATGCATATTATAATCACATGCATATTATATCACTTAGAATATATCAGATTAGTCCCATATATAGCCATATATAATCATTCTTCTAGGGTTACCTAGATCTAAAAGTGTTGCTAACTATTCTCTGGGGCATACTGTTATGACCCTTCCTTATTTTATAGTGAACATCAGAAATTGAAGAGTCATTCCCAGCATTCCCAAATACCAAGGGGCTTGAGATCAGAAAAAGGATAATAACGACTTATTTCAAGGTAATTTGAGAATTTCACAAATTTAAAAACACAATTTTAAAGTGACAAAATCTGAAAAAAAAGAAGAAAAGAGAAAAATGATGGTAATGCCAGCTCAAATCAGGAGTAGAAAGCAGGTGGCCCATAACTCCAAAATATATTTTGCTTAGCTGCCATAGTGTTAGAAAAGTTAATTCTGTATTAACATCTACATAGATATTCCAGTTTGTGAGGGCCCCACTTCTATCTGTTGTTTTAAATTTGGGCTGCTTCACACAATTTGGAAAAAATCAGTTATGCTCTTTAATGACATGCATTTACAAAGCTCTGGTTTAAAGAAAATAATTCAAAATTTCAGCTGAATCATACTATTTCAAAATAAAATGACTTTTCTTCAAAATGTTCTTCCTCACAGATAATATTAACCATTTATTCATTTAGTGGAGGATCAAAAAATATATTTTAAAAGTGATAAAATAAAACAAGATGGACAGTTTTTTTTGGTCAACATCCTTCTAGCTCATTCTTTTTTCCTCTTCATGCCCCATAGTGATATCCAGTTCACAGGGCTATTTCATGACCCGTTTCTCCTGTGTCTCAACAAAAATTATCCATTTTAGACTTGTTCTTCCATTTCAAAAACCATGTTCTAATATTCAATATTTCTCCTTTATCTTCTTTCTCCCTTTCTTTCCTTTGATTTTTCCTTTTCTTCTATCTTCTTTTTCTTCTATAAATTTAAATTTCTTCAGGAATACACATTTGATAGGAGGAAATGTGTGTGCGTGTATGTGCATGTGTGTCTGTGTAATAGATTTGATAAAATAATGATTTATTTTAAATCACTGTAAGCAGTGTTTCTCCTACCTATAAGTACTCTTTAAAAATCTATCATTAAAAATAAAGAAAAAAATGGCTAATTCTAACATCAGAACTTAGAAGTCAAATCTCATTAGATTTTCTCATTTGCTACCATTATAATCACAAAAATATAAATGAATTAATCATATGTGGGGGTGTTTTGTGAAAATAATAGGGATTGGCTTTGATATTCATCAGGATAAAATCAGTAAATAATCAAGGTTGTATATTGACTTATTCCATTATTGTGTCAGAATCTACATTAGAGTACTCTATAAGAATTGCTGTGACTGAGTGAACTCACTGTCATAGCAATATCCATGCAAGCAAGGGCTGGAACTGCACTCATTGACATTGATCTCACAGTGTGGACCTGCAAAGCCTTTTGCACATTGGCACTGGTACCCAAGAGGAGATATTTCCAGATTCATTTTCTTTCCAAACTCAGCACCATTCTCACAAGGATCAGTAGCCTCACAAGGCCCCAAATCATGGTAAGAATCTGAAAGGGAAGAATCAGAGTGTCCATGTTTATTTAATGAACAAATCCCAACTGCTGTCACTTATGTGGCATATGTCTGCGTAAATGCATTCAACATAGTCTCTAGGCAGTGACTCATAATTTTCGTCAATATTACCATTGTGATTCTCTCTATATATATTACAATTTAAGAAAGAAATGTTATTTATGATTTCTATGCTTCATCTAACAAAGCACCAGCAGGCAGCAATGTTAAGTGACAGCATCTTAAAAATACCATTTTGTTTTTTCATACTTTACACCTCTTGTTCAACAATGTTCTCTGAAGACATTGCAATTAAAAAAGTACATTATTGATGATTGATTCTCCCTGGGTTTTTTGTCTCTCTTTCTGTTTATCTGGTACCCTGGAGGTTGCTATCACTATAAGCTTTGCTTGATGGATTTGTTGCTATTCTCAAAACAAGTACAGTGAAAAAAGAATATTTTAATAAGGTTTTAATCTTAAGAGTAACACCTCAGCCCGGAAACTAAGTTTTAAATTTTACTCAGGGACTGTAACTAGATAAAGCGACTGTCACTGCATAAAATATACACAAGTATTTAGAGATAAGAAATAAGATGCTTGACCCAAGGGAATACATACCGAACAAAAAGTGAGGCATAAACAGCATTAAATTGTTCAACAAAGCAAAATCGTTACTCAGGTTTCAGTTTTCCAGACATAGTAAAAATATTTGTATATTAGGTATTTGGCAAGTACTTAAATAATAGCATCCATTCATCAAAATATGTAGCATATACATACAAACAAGTGCCTGGCTGACTATCTCCGAGAAGAAAATAACAAATAATCATTAAGTCCTTTACTCAGATTTTCTTAGTAAGTTCTCAGCTGTAGAGATGAAGGGATAATAAACAAACTGCATTAAGAGATAAAGTTTTAAAAGTTTAGAATATTATATGCAAACAATGAGTCATGGACCACTACATCAAAAACTAATAATGAACCCTATGGTGACTA